GGACGTCAGTAACGTGACCTGTGGTCCAGAGCTGGTGTCCACGGGCTCGGCCGCTCCTGCGCCGCCGTGCATTTACTCGCGGATCGCCCGCGCTCAGGACTAGCCCTCCAGGGCATCGACGTCGCGGGCAGGGTGGTGGACCCTAACTACCGCGGCGAGATCAAGGCGATCATGCACAACGCCAGCCCGCGGACGTCCGTGGTCGAGCAGGGCCAGAGGGTCGCCCAACTCATCTTGGAGCGCATCATCACGGGCTCCGACATCGTGGTCATTCCCATCCTTCCCCCATCTGCCCGCGGCTCTGCGGGCTTTGGTCGCGCTGCCATGACGCGCCTGAAGCCGCGACCCCATCCCGCGGGAATTGGGCGCCGCAGAACCAGCAGGGTCTGAGTGCACCTGCGTCACCGAAAACCCCGCGCAGCCGTCGCACTAGGAGGAGGATGGGTCAGCCCGCAAGGCTGGCCAGCTGACCTGCCCCGACAGGAGCGGGCAGCAGGGCCGGGGCGGGGCCCCGCGCTTCCAGAGCGCGCGCACGATGCCCCGCAGGGCTTCGACCTCCGCGTCAGGCAGCGGCGCGGGGCCGTCTGGCCCAGCGACGTACAGCAGAGCGTCCGCGATCGCGTCGGCCGCCGGGCCCAGGCCGTCAAAACCGCACTTGTCAGTGCTCTGCAGCCGCCGCTCCTCGCCCAGGTCCCAGCACGGTGCCTCGCGGCACAGGTGGGGCTTCTTAGTGGGGGCCTCCTCCAGGTAGCGTCGATGGCGCCCTGAAGTCGACCCCCAGACTGTAGTCGTAGATAAGGCTCGACGCGCGCGCCAGGGCCCCAGCTCTCGATCCTCGGCTGGCGCGAGCGCCCTGCCCCTCCGTCGGAGATGATGCGGCGGGGGTGGCCATTGGCCCCTCGGGCCCGCACCTCGCGGCGCCTCGCGTTGTCGACAGGGCGCGAGGCCCCTGGACCGACCGGCTCTGGCGGCGGCGGGGGCGGTCCGGGGGGGGGTCCGGGCCGCAGCGGCGCCCGCAGCGCCCGAGGCACGCCCGAAGTGGGCCGATCAGGAGGGCGTCGACTGCGACGGCGAGGTCCAGACAGCCCCGATATCCACAGACGCCCCAGGGTCACCAGAGCCGAGGTCCAGACGATCAGCGCGCACTCCCCGTAGGCGATTCCCCAGGTTTGGCGGAGCGGGGGCCCGAGGAGGCCTGTCGCGGGGTTGGCTAGAGCGGCCGCGCGGCCCAGGCGGGCGCGCAGCGCGGCGGCCCAGCCCCAGGCGGCGGCAGGTCCGGCGGGAACAGCCGCGGGCGGAGCGGGGGCCGCATTCCAGGCTGGCAGCCAGCCGAGGGCGGTCTCCATCCTGGACGGGGGCGGCGGCTCAGGGCCTGGGGCTGGCGGTTTTCCCATCTCGTTGTAGCCGTCGTCCTCCGCGTCCTCGTCGTCGCCGTCGTCCTCGTCGTCCTCGGCAGCGATGTCTGGCGCGGCGTGGCGGTCGGGCGGGCCCGCGATGATGCGAAGCGTGTCCGCCTCTACCCCGTAGTGTTGCCCATGTTACTCGCAGTGCACGGTGCACCTCTGGACTGCCGCTGGCGCTCCTGGCGCCGCAGGTGGCGGGGCCGCGGCCTCAAGCTCTGGCCCCGCGCCCTCGCTGACGCCCATCGCCAGCTCGTCTCCCCGAACGAGTGCAGCTGCCGATGCGCCCGCAAGGCCATCTGGCGTTGCGACCAGCGCGACCGCGTCGTCGAGCTCGGCGGGCCCCCTGGGGAGGCCCAGGAAGCCCGCGGCCGCCAGATGATCGAGGTCACCGCAGGCGTCGTCCCGCTCCTCGGCGGCCTCTGCGGGGGGGGCCGCTGGCGCGGGGGGCGCCGGCGCCGGCGCCTGCGCGGCGCCTGCCGCGGGGCGGGGGCCAGCGGCGCAGCCGGCCCGGCGGCCGCGGCCGCGCTTGTGCCCCAGCGCAGGACGGCGGCGAGCGCCGGGGGGCCCGTCAGAAGACGGCCCGCGGCGGATCGCCAGTCTTGAAGGTGGAGCCGAGAGCTCTGGGGGGCGCACGTCGGGGAGAAATATTCGGAGCGTCGGAGCCATGGGTTATTATTGATCCTTCCCTTTCCTTTGGGAGGGGTTCTTCATCCTCCCCCGCCTTCGCCTCCTCCTCCTCTTCCGCTGTCGCCTCCTCCTCCTCCTCTTCCTCTCCCTCCTCCTCCGTCTCCGCTTCCGCCTCCTTTTCCTCCTCCTCCTCTCCTCCACCTCCTCTTCCGGGAGGGACGTTCCAGAAAGGGCCTTGCCACCGAGGGATGGAAGGAATTGATATCCTTTTCCCAGCGGAAGGCGGCGGAGGGAAAACGGGGGCGGCTCCACCAGCGGAAGCACAATTCGCAATTTCAAGAGATACCATGTTGAGGTGATTCGAGGTTTACAGACGCAGAATCACGCAGAGCCCTCCGAGTTCCAGGAAACGCCTGACAATTTTCCCCAAACAACATCGTAGTATTATCTTTATCTCCTCCCAGAGAAGAAGGAGAATGCATCCTCATTCCAGGGGGCGAGGGACAAACCCCAGGATTTTCCGGGGGTCCCCAAAGTTCTCGGCGTACGTACAGAAGGCACGCGTGCCCGGATGTGTTTGGCGTATATGTGGCGTGTTGAGGCGATCGTACACAGGGGGCGCTATGCAGTGGCGACCCGCGACCCCAATCATCTCCGCATGCATTTTAAGGAATGATCTGGCATATTCGTTTTGTTGACTCGATCGCGTTGGAGAAAGAGGTTGAAGAGTGATACCTCGCATGCGAATGAGTGACCAGCCGCCCGACCAGCGATTTAGGCTTCGCGACAACAAGTAGAAAGAAATAATTGAGTAAGGTGGGATGATGGTGATGATGATGTTGAGGAGGACGAAGAGGAAAAGGAGAACGGTATGGAGGGACGATGATGGTGATGATGATGATGATGATGATGACGGTGGTGGTAATGATGATACTGGCGGTGGCTATGGTGATGATGGTGGTGATGTTGATGATGATGGTGATGGTGATTTGACGATGATGATGATGATAATGGTGATGGTGATGATGATGGTGGTGGTGGTGGTAGTGATGCTGCTGCTGGTGATGACGATGCTGATGATGGTGATGATGATGTTGATGGCGATAATGATGACGATGCTGATGCTGATGATGATAACTATGATAATGACGATAATGCTGATTATGATTATCACGATGACGATGATGACGATGATGATGATGGTGATGATGATGGTGCTGCTGCTGATGCTGATGATGATGATGGTGGTGTGGATGCTGATGATAACGATGCCGATAATGATGATGATAATGATGATGGTGATGCTGATGGCGATGGTGTTGGCGATGACGACCATGATGCTGATGACGATGATGATGAGGATGCTGCTGATGATGATGATGATGATGACGATGACGATGATGATGATGATGATGATGATGATGATGATGATGATGATGATGATGATGATGGTGGTGGTGGTGGTGTGCTGCTGCTGCTGATGACGATGGTGACGATGATGATGATGATCATGATCATGATCATGATCATGATCATGATCATGATCATGATCATGATGATGATGATGATGATGATGATGATGATGATGATGATGATGATGATGATGATGATCATGATCATGATCATGATCATGAGGAGGAGGAGGAGGAGGAGGAGGAGGAGGAGAAGGAGAAGGAGAAGGAGAAAGGGGCAGAGGAGGAGGGAGGAGGAGAAGAAGGAGGAGGGGTAAGAAGGATAGTAGGGAGGAGGAGGAGGAGGAGGAGGAGGAGGAGGAGGAGGAGGAGGAGGAAGGAGGAGGAGGAGGAGGAGGAGGAGGAGAGGGAGGGGGGACGGGAGGAAGTGGAGGAGGCACAGAAAAGAGGGATCGGGAGGTGTAGAGGCGTGGAGCAGATCGGGGCAGCAGCGGGCGAGGGGGCAGCAGGAGGGATCTGCGGCGGCGGCGGAGGCGGCAGCAGGCCCCAGGCCCCTGGGGATCTTGACCGACGCCAACGCCAACGACAGCTCCGACGACGCCGCACTTCGCCGACGACGCCGACGGCCCTGACGGCCCTGACGACCCGAGAGCCTCGACGCTGTGGTTTTGTTGCAACGTGGGTTCCCCCTGGACGTCTCCGCCCCGTCCCCAGGGCCCCAGCTTCCCGTCCCGAGCCATCTCTTGACCGCCCCCGAGGCCTGGCTGAGGGCCGTCGGGAGGCCGAGGTTGCCCAGAGAATATGCGTCGTGAGTTATTCTCGGCGCGAGTGGATCCGGCAAGCGACGACGACGACGACACCAAACGATGGCGATCGTCCCCCCGCACCTCTCCTGGAGCGCGTGATGGTACGATGAAGACGGGTGCTGAAGGAACAGGGACGAAGACGCACAGCAGTTTCTGCCCCTTTGAACCGGACTCGTTGTCGTCGTCGTCGTCGACGTCGCGGGTGTTGTCTATGTGAGACGAAACGTCGCCTGCCCAGCAGCCGCCGGTATCGGTTTAGGGCAAAATTGATTGCTGGGCATCGTGCGCATGTTCCCCGTAACCTGTTTCGGGCGGGCCAAGGTCCGCTCAGAGGCTCGGCGTCTGGAGGTTGGCACCAGGATTTCTGGCACGAGGTTCTCGAACGCCAGGCCGCTCAGATGGGAGGCCTCCAGCTTAAGAACAGTCCCAGCCCTGGAGGGGGTCCCTCATGCTCTTCGTGCTCGGGCCCTCGACCTTGGAATGGCGTAACAGTGTTGGGTATCTGCACCGTCGGTGCAGGGGCTCATGGTGGCGGCGCGAGGGCGCGAAGACGACCGCGCATCGCGGGGCGCGACGCGCGAAGCTTACTGACTCACCCTCCTCGCAGAGAGGCCATCTTCGCCCGACCCGATCTTCGTCTTCCCCGGCGTGACCCTTTCCCACATTCGCCCCCAGCGCGACTCTCGTCGTCCGACCCGGCCATCGGGCGTGCCCAGAGGAAAGGCAGCACGGCCCCAGAAGCTAAGCGCCAGGTACGCGCGGCTGCCCCTGCAGCCCTCCTTGCTGCAGAACCGGCCCGACATCCACCGGCTTCCACTGGGCAAGCCGCCGCGGAGGGCCTCCCGCGAAGGCCCCGGCCCCCCCCTTGTGGCCCAGCCGCCCGAGCGTCGCTTCTCTTTCTGCAGCAACCAGAAAGAAAGATCACAAAGACGCGAGCAATCAGACAACAAATATGGATGTTCCAAGGTTTGCGCCTCTGGGGGCACGCGGCGCGCTTCGGGCCCCGTGACCGTCAAAGAGCGACCCAGGGCTCGCGGGACCACGGCGTCGGGGGTCATGGGAGGGTGGTGGGGGAAGGGCGCCATGCAGAAAAGGCGTCCTGAGGGGCACGGGTAGGGTCCTAAGGTCTTTCGCGGCTTTCGGGCTCCCAGGGCCTTCCTCGGGTCCTGGAGCCGTCAAGAGCCGACTCAGGAGGAAGAGTTGGTCACCGGGGGAAGCCCGGGATCCAGGACCCGTTTCCCGCAGGACATGTTATCTTTCCTGTCAGGGAAGGGAAGGGGGACAAGCGGGGGATGAATATGGAGAAGGAGAGGTCGAGGAGGAGGAGGTCGACGACGACGACGACGACGACGACGACGACAGGCAGGAGCAGGAGGAAGGTCTGGAAGAGGTGGAGGAGGACCTCCCCCTTTTAACATAGCTGCTGCCTCCACCCCTTCTCACTCTAAACATCTCTTATACGTCGCACCACCAGACGTGTCGGCAAGGCGGTCCAGAAGTGCCGCCTGAGATGTCCTCAGAAAATATTATGCTACAGCTAAGAATGCCTCACGGCTGCATGGATGAAGTCCAGATGGCTTTTACTATCGGGCTCCCGTCTGAGACGTCACCACATGGTCTGATCGGGCAGCATGTAATATTCAAAAGTTGCACGTGTGGATGGTGATTATGTTTTTCCTAACCATCCTGTGGTGTTGGGTCCTCGTTTTGAAGAGACGTCGCCCCGCGTTCCTCTCCTCCTCTCCTCCTCCTCCTCCTCCTCCTCCTCCTCCTCCTCCTCCCCCTTCCTCTCTCCTCCCGTCATCATCATCATCATCATCATCATCATCATCATCATCATCATCATCATCATCATCATCATCGTCATCGTCATCATCATCATCATCATCATCATCACCATCACCATCAGCGTCACCATCATCATCATCATCATCATCATCATCATCATCATCATCATCATAATCATCATCATCATCATCATCATCATCATCATCATCATCATCATCATCATCATCATCATCATCATCATCGTCATCGTCATCGTCATCATCATCATCATCATCATCATCATCATCATCATCATCATCATCATCATCATCATCATCATCATCATCATCATCATCATCATCATCATCATCGCGACCGTCATTGTTACCAGCATCAATCACCCATGTCGGCACACCCCTCACAAGCTTTGCGGCTCCATAGGGAGCTCCACCGAAGGCCCCAGTGCCACCGCCCGCATGCGTCCCCCACACCCTCGGCACACCCCTCACACGTTTCTTGGCCCCATAAGGAGCTCCACCGAAGGCCCCAGTGCCACCGCCCGCATGCGTCCCCCACACACAATTCGGCACACCCCTCACACGTTTCGTGACCCCATAGGGAGCTCCACCGAAGGCCCCAGTGCCACCGCCCGCATGCGTCCCCCACACCCATTTCGGCACACCCCTCACACGCTTCGTGGCCGCATAGGGAGTTCCACCGAAGGCCCCAGTGCCACTGCCCGCATGCGTCTCCCACACCCAGTTCGGCACACCCTTCACACGTTTCGTGGCTTCACAGGGAGTCCCACCGAAGGCCCCAGTGCCACCGCCCGCATGCGTCCCCCACACCCAGTTCGGCACACCCTTCACACGCTTCGTGGCCCCATAGGGAGCTCCACCGAAGGCCTCAGTGCCACCGCCCGCATGCGCCCCCCCCCCCCCACACACCACACACACACACACACACACACACACACACACACACACACACACACACACACACACACACACACACACACACACACACACCACACACACACACATTCGGCACACCACTCACACTATTCGTGGCCCCATATGGAGTTCCACCGAAGGCCCCAGTGCCACCGCCCGCATGCGGCCCCCACACCCAGTTCGGCACACCCTTCACACGTTTCGTGGCCCCATATGGAGCTCCACAGAAGGCCCAATGCCAGCGCCTGCATGCGCCCCCCACACGAATTTCGGCTCACCCCTCACACGCTTCGTGACCCCATAGGGAGCTCCACCATAGGCGCCAATGCCAACGCCCGCGTGCGTCCCCCACACCCAGTTCGGCACATCCCTCACACGTTTCGTGGCCCCATATGGAGCTCCACCGAAGGCCCCAGTGCCACCGCCCGCATGCGTCCCCCGCACCCAGTTCGGCACACCCCTCACACGCTTCCTGGCCACATAGGGGGCTCCACCGAAGGCGCCAATGCCGCCGCCACCATGCGCCCGCCACACTCAAGGTTTCAGGGAACAGCTCCAGACCTCTGGGGAGACGGAGGAGGCGGAGGAGGAGGAGGAGGAGGAGGACCGCTCCCCCCCGCATGTATGTTGCTTTGCATTCGCGGGAGATTCCATGCCACCGGCGAGGGTCTTTGGGGTGTTCTCGTTGTGGTCGCTGTAAACGAGCGGTGGAGAAGTGGCCTGGTGGATGTCGTCGTCGCCGTCGTCGTCTTCGTCCGGCGGCGGTTCCGGATCGCCCCACGGCATACGGGCCAGCGGCCGTGGACGCGCCGTGGGTCCTCCGCATCCGCGGGAACGTGGCCGACACGGACTTGCGAACTGCTCCGACGCCCAGAAGGCCGAGAGAGACGGGGAGAACAGGATCTATCTGAAGCGCTTGCCGCTGGGGTTCTGGGCGCGCATGGAGATGCACGCGAGCGCGCCCTTCGCGGGCGACCTGAAGCGCCACGACGACAGCTTCACGGGGGACCTCGCGGGCCCGCTGGCGTTCATCGTGCCCCGCACGTCGGAGCCGTTCACCTTCCGCACCTCCAAGGTCACCCGGAAGGGCCCCCCGTCGTCGCACGGCAGGGCCATCGCCACGGCGGCGCGCCAGGGGCGCACCATGCGAGAAGGCGACGGGGCGAGGGAACGGCGCCCCTGGGCAGTCTACAGCCGAACCTACTGGGCGCGAGCGGTCTGCTGCTGGACCATCTCTCGGCCCTGTGGACTCTCGCCCTGGGCCGTCGGCTGTCCGGCGCGCTGCCCCCTCGACCGACGTCGCCCAGGCGTGACCCTGGACTGCGGCCGCCACGAGGTCGGGAACAGCAAGAAGGAGGACGACGACTGGCGGCTGGAGCTCCACGCGCTGCTCTCGCGCGCCACGCGCCGCGAGGACCTCCTGCTCATGCGGGCGCCGCGCATCGAGTTATGCCGCCAGAGGGCTTGCGGAAGCAGCTGGGGCAGTTTGCGGCGCGCGCGAAGCGGCGCGGGGGGGGGGGGGGGGGGGGGGCGACGGCCCTCGCCAGGGAGCTCGGCTTCATCGAGCGCATCCGCGAGGCCTGACCTGAGGAGCGCCCCCCCCCCCGAGCCGCGCCTTCTCTCGACTGCCCAACTAATTGCTTGGCCTCGCGCCGCGGACGACCCGCGCGCGTCGCTGGGACCCCTCTGGGGCGACCAGCGCGCGTCGCGGGAACTCCGCGCTGCGTTCTCCCTTGCGCCTCGCTCGTCCGTCGTCGCTCTGGCCAGCAGTCAGAGCCTTGCCCGCTATCAGCCAGCCAGCTAGCTAGCTAGCTATCTCATTTTGTTCCGCGCAGCGGACGATCCGCGCGCGTCGCCGGGGCCCTTCCGGGGCGACCGGCGCGCGTCGCGGGGGCCCCGCGCCGCGCTGCGCCCGCAGCTTTGGACTTTGGAGCGCGCGGGCGAGGAGGGAGGAGAAGGAGGGAAGGGAGCGGGCGCGATCTTCGTCAGGGGCGCGCCGGCATGGGCGTCGCGGCGCGCGGGCGCTGCCGCCTGGGCTGCCGCGGAAGCTTTATGCCGCGGCCGCGTTCAGTGTTGCGAGTGCGCAGACAGGCATACCCGAACCATTCACGTTCATATGCATTTACACGAGGCGTAACCATGATCGCACTCGTGCAAATATATTCGCTCGCGCGCAAACTCATTCACATTGAGACTCACTCGTGCTCAAATTCACCCGCGCTCAGTCTCTCGTAGTCAGACCTGTCGTTTTCCTTCGTGTTGTGTACCCCGCCACATGTCGGCACGCCCCTCATACGGTTCGTGGGCACCGCCGAAGAAGATACTCACAAATGCGGTACTCACAACTGCATATGGGTGGGTCCTTCGCCCGGATCATTTGTTGCATGAACAAGGTCATATTGTTCGAGTTCCCCTCACATGTCTGATTCACTGCTATTCGCGTGAGATGCATTCGCGCATAATGAGTTCAACGTTTGCACTCCCAACTTTACATCAGTTTTGTCGAAGACGCCTACGGCGAGACACCGCCGCACCTTGCCTTTTGGAAAGCGCCGCAATGGCTAAACGTTGGGCCCCAGCTTGGCCAACGGCCCCAAGACGGCCCACGAGGCGCCCAAGACCGCCCAAGAGAGTTCCAAGACGGCCCCAAAAGGGGGACCACGAACCGAAACATTTACCTTTTCGCCCCAAGACGTTCCTAGGAGGCTTCAAGACCCCCCAAGCAACCCCAAGAGGCCCCCAAGAGGGGTCCCAAGAGGCCACCAGGAGGCCAAAATCATTGATTCCCGATCGGAAAACATACATTGTTAGCATGCACGGCTTTTCGGCTTCCACGGCGTTGAAGACGGCCCAAGAGGCCCCAAAGACCGCCCCAAGACGGCCCAAGAGGCTCCCAAGAGGCCCCCCGAACGGCCCAAGAGAGTTCTAAGACGGCCCCAAGAGGGGGACCATGAACCGAAAAAAATACCTTGTCGCCCCAAGACGTTCCGAGGATCCTCAACGCCCCCCCAAGAAACCCCAAGAGGCGTCCCAAGAGGCCACCAGGAGACCAAAATCATTGATGCCCGATCGGAAAACATACATTTTTAGCATGCACGGTTTTTCTGCTTTCGCGGCGTTGAAGACGGCCCAAAAGGCCCCCAAGACCGCCCCAAGACGGCCCAAGAGGCTCCCAAGAGGCCCCCCGAACGGCCAATAGGGCCCCAAGACGGCCCAAGAGGCGCCCAAGACGGCCCAAGAGGCCCCAAGACGGCTCCAAGAGGGGGACCACGAACCGAAAAGTCTAGCCTTTCGTCCCAAGCAGCTCCCAGGAGGCCCCAATAACCTTCCAAGAGGCCCCCCAGAGGCCCCCAAAAGGTTTCCAAAAGGTCCCCAATAGGACCCCCAAGAAGGCCCAGAGACGCCAAAAAAAGCGATCGGTAATGCAAAAAGCTCTTCACACCAAGGCTCCCAAGAGCGAACGGTGACGCAACAAGTTCCTGACACCACGGCCCAGCCAAGGCTCAGGAACGGGCGGCAACGCAACAATCTCTGAACACCACGGCTCCCAAGAGCGAGGGGTGACGTAACAAGCTCTCAACGCCGAGGCTCCCAGTACGAACGGTGGTGTGAGTAATTTCGGTTTCTGCTTCTGAAGCGCTCTTTCCGTTTCCGTGCCGGCCCAGGTGTAATGGCCGCCCGAGGGCCGTTTCTTCCGTAGTTGTTTTAGTGAAACGGCTCCCGGGCGGGCGGCTCCCATGGCTTGTTTCCTCATACGAAAGAAGCGACCAGAGGGCCCCAAGACGGCCGAAGAGGGCCGCAAAACGGTTCCAGAGGGTCCCAAGATGGCCCCAAGAGAGCTTCATATGGCTTCCAGACGGCCCGAGAGCCTCAAGGCGGCTCCAGATGCCCTCAAGATGGCCTCCGAGAGGGCCGAGGAGGCCCAAAACATTTATTTTCCATAAGTTTTTGAAGGTTTTGGGGTTCTGCCCTTTTTCAGGTCCAGAGGCCCTCAAGATCGCCCCAAGACTGCCCAGATGCACCCAAAAGGAACCGAAAACAATCCAAGAGGGCTCCCAGACGGGCTCCAGGCGGCCCACGAGGCCTCAAAGATCGTCCAAAGATGGCCCCAGAGGCCCTCCAAAGGGGCCGAAAACGGTCCAAGAGAGGGTTCCCAGACGGCCCAAGAGGGCCCCAAGACGGCCCAAGAGGGCCCCAAGACAGTCCCAAGGGAGCCCCAAGAGTGCCCCAAGAGGCTCCCAAAAGAGCCCGAAGAGGTGGTATGGGGACTGGGTTGCTTGGGTTTGGGGACTGGGCTGGCCCCCAGACGGCCCAAGAGGGCCAAAGCGGCCCCAAAAGGGTTCCCAACAGATTCCCAAAAAGCCCCAGAGACTTCAAGTAAAACCATGGCTCCCAACAGCGAGTGGTGACGTAACAAGCTCTGAGGCCTGAGGGATGCTCATTGGGTCTCGTCTGAGCGTTTTTGGGATTCTCTTGGGGAGCAGGGTCCCCCATCTGGGCCCCCACTTGGGGCCGTTTTGGGGCCTCTTGGGCCATCTTGGCGCCTCTTGGTCCGTCTTGGGGCCCTTTTGGGCAGTGTTTGGGTCCTCTTGGAGGCCGTGGCGATCGTTGGGGCCTCCTAGGCAGACTTGGAGCGCAGCGAAGCCGAAAAGCTGATCACGCCCAAATCCTTCAAAAACCAATGGAAACTCAATGGGAGGCCTGGGGTGTCTTGTAGGCTTCTTATGCCGTCTTGGGGCCATCTTGGGCGTCTTGGTGCGATCTTTGGGCGCCTCGGGGCCTTCTTGGCAGTCAGGAGAGCCTCTTGAAGCCTTCTTGGTCCGTCTTGGGGCTCTTTTGAGTCCGAAGATGTAACGCGAGAAGCCGCGGCAAGCCCGAGGAGATGGGTGAAGTCGAGGTCTGGGCCCCTTGAGAACCCTTAGGATCGAAGACTGAGGCTCAGGGGATTGGGCAAAGGACTTGAGGACACGCCCACTGCGTGTACACCGGCACGTTGGCGGATAAAATGGAGGTGGCTCCGTTCAAACACAGTGTTCTTGCTTAACACTTCTTTCCATGTAGTAGCTTGCATCTCCCCGACACTTTCTCCAAAGCTAAACAAATGGATGTTGACTTCTGTTCGAAGTCACAGTCCCGTCCCGACGCCGAGCATATGCCTCTTTGAGGCTCCTGCCGGGCAGCTTCCCTCACACCCACTGCGCTGTGCAAACATCGTACGTTCAGTCCGTGCCCCCGTGTCGGTATTAACCAAGCCCTTCCATTTGCTAAAACGGAAAAAACATGCAACGATTGCCCCGACCTTGCTGCACAGTGCAAGCCGACGCGGCCCTCGCCACTCCAGCTGGGTCGCTTCCTGCGGCAGGGCCGCGTGGTTCAGACCTCTCTCTGGCAGCCCGAGTCCCGCTCCCCCTCCACCGAGGCGACTGCTGCGCGCGCGGCGAGGCCGCGGGCGACGAGAATTCCAAGCACGCAGGCACCAGAGAGCCGGCGCTTCGCTCGGGGGCATGTGAACGGGCAGGGGGCGAGTTTGAATTCGTCGGTGGCGCGCCGCGGGACGCCTCGGCCGCAGCGAGGTGAGGCGGCAGCAGGGTCGAGGATCGAGGGTGGCAGAGGTTTTGTGCCCTCAAAACAGCGCGTGCCCTTGAGAGTCGAGCTCGACTTCAAGGAGCATCCCGCTTTTGACACAGAGTTCGACTTCGAGGAGCACGCAGATCTCTTCGTCCCTTGGAGGCCCGTGTCGGGCACCGGGGCCGTCAGAAACTTGTCCAGGATGAAGAGCCAGCCAGGATGCACCCCAGGAGTGATCTGGGGACCGAGCTTCTGCCACCCCAACCCCCAGACAATAATTACCCCCCCCCGTTCCCACCTGAGAGCTGACTATCCCGGGCCAATACAGGTTTGGTCAAGGAAGAGAGGCGGAAAGGCTGGATTTGATTATCGCGGGGGAAAGTTGCGAAGCGAAATTGCTTTCTTATTATGTTGAATGGTTTCCGATTGATTTCTTCGGGAATCCGATGGATGTCCTAGGGAACCCTATGGATTCCCTATGGATTTCCATTGATTCCAGAGGAACCCGATGGATGTCCTAAGGACACATATGAATTTCCTAGGGAGTCCTGAGGCAATCTTATGGAATTCATGAGGAATCCTCTGCAGTGCAAAAGGAATCTTAAGAGTTATATAGGTTGCCTTTGAAAATCAATAGAATTCCTAAAGAAGCCGATCGTAATATGTCGGACATCCATTTGATTTGTTCGGAAATCTATACGAATCCCAAGGGAATCCATAGGAGTCCTTAGGCAATCAATAGAATTCTTGCGAAAACCAATAGAATCATTCAGGAAATCTAAAGGAATCCTTCGGAAATCCATCGGACCCCTTAGGAAATCAACCGGATTCCCCCGGAAATCTAGACGATTCCTCGGGAAAGCCATTGCATTCGTTCAGGAATCCATGCGAATCCTTCGGACATCCATAGGATTTCTTCGGAAATCCATAGGATCCCTGACGACATGTATAGGATTCCTTGGGACATCCATCGGGTCCCTTGGGAAACCCATAGGATCCCCGAGGAAACCCATAGGATCCTTTAGGATATAAGCATATATATAGATATACACACTACAGACATACATAATTATACATATATATCTATATATATATATATGTAGATCGATACATATATATATATATGTGTGTGTATGTGATTCCGTGGGACATCCATCGGATTCCTAAGGAAATCGATCGGCTGCCTAAGGACATCCATAGAATTCGTTCGGAAATCCATAAGAATCCTTAGGAAATCAATCGGGCTCTGGAGGACATCTTCAGGATTCCTTAGGATATCAATGAACTCCCCTTAGGACATCCATAGGATTCGTTTGGAAATCCATAGAGATCCTTAGGAGATCCATAAGATTCTGGAAGAATTGGATAGGGATCTTTAGGAAATCCGTTCGATTCTTCAGGAAATCCAAACGATCCTTTCGGGCACCCATCGGACCCTTCAGGAAATATCGGATTATTACACAATCTATCAGATTCCGCTGAAAATTCATGCGAGTTGTTCGGCAATCATCCGGATTCTCGCGCAGATCCAAAGATCCTTTGGAAATCCATCGGGTCCCTCTGAAAATCCATCGGGTTCCTTCGGAAATCCTTGGGTATCCTTCGAAACTCCGTAGGAGTCCTTTGTCAATCTATCGGATTCCTCCGGGAACCATTCGGATTCTTCAGGACAGACAATTGATTCTTGATGCAGTCCACAGTATCCCTTCTGAAATCGATAGGAGTCTTCAGGACATACATAGGATTCCTTTGGAAATCCATAGTACTCCTTAGGAAATCTATGGGAACCCTTAGGATATATATATATATATACACACACACACACCGGGGAACGGGACCTGGGGCCGCCAGATTGGGACCTCGGACCCCCATGGGGGCCACGGGGCTCCAGGACGCTCCTGGGGGCCCGAACATCGACCACAAATGTGGAGCCCAGGGCCCGGGCCGCCTCTGAGAGGGCTGAAATCGCCGTCGGAAGCCTTTAGACAGCCGCCCAGGCAGCCCTGGACGTTCTCGAGAAGTTCCCAAGACGCTTCAAGATGCCGCCCTAGAGCTGCCCGAGAGGCCAAAATCGTTGATTCTAATTCGTTTTTTTCAATGTTTTTGGCTTCCTCCCTGTTTCGGCTTTCCGACGCTCCACGACCGCCCCAGAGGCTCCCAAGACCCTTCCAAGAAGGCCCCAGAGGCTCCCAAGAGAGCCCCCAGACGGCCTAAGAGAGACGCAAGAAGGCTCCAGGAGCTGTCGGACAGCTGTCCCAGCGTCCCCAGACGGTTTCGAGACGCTCCGAAGACCGCCTCCAGGTGTCTCCAGCGGCTCGCGATGCGTCTGAAGTTGCCGAGGACGTCCCCCAAGACGCGCCAAGAGGCTTGAAGATGCCGCCGAGGAGCGGCCCGAGAGGCCGAAATCGTTGATTTCCATTTGTTTTTTTTATGTTTTTGGCTTCCAAGCCGTTTCGGCTTTCCGACGCTCCTAGACCGGCCCAGGACTCCCCAGATTGCTCCCAGACAGGCCAAGACACCCCCAAGAGAGGCCGAAGACGGCCCAAGGGAGCTTAAGACTGTCCCCAGGCCCGCCCAAGACAGCCCAAGAGAGCTCCAAGAAAGCGCCAACAGCGGCCCAAGAAAGGAACACGCACCGAACAGTCGAGCTCTCCGCCCCAAGATGCTCCCAGGAAGCCTTCAGAGTCCCCGAAGACAGCCCAGAAGGCTACCAAAAGGCCCCCAAGAGGCCCAGAAGAGGCCTCCAGAGGCTCCAAAACGGCCTTCGAGAAGCTTCACAACTGCCTACCCAGGTCCCCCAAACATGCTCCGGAAACGCGCTGCCGGAGCACGTTGCCGTTTCTTCTTCCAGCGTTCGGCCTCGCGTGTCCGAGAGCCATTGTCGTCCGGCACCGTCGCCGTCCTATATATATATATATATATATATATATGTGTGTGTATATATATATATATATATATATATATATATATATATACATATATAACGGCGCACCGGGTCCGGGGGCCCGGGGCCGGGACCCCGACCACAAATGTGGGCTCCGGGGGGCCCGGAGGCTCGTCGGACCGCCGGACGCCGTCCAAGATCGTTCGCAGGCGGCTTCGAAACGCGCTCCGATGGCTCCAGATGCCTTCCAAGACGCCTGTCATGACACCAAGAAGGTCCCAGAAGCCTCCAAGACGCTCCGAGAGGCAGCCCAAGAGAGGCCCAAGAAGCAAAAATCGTGCCATTCCTATGGGAAAACGTATATTTTTCGCATGTTCGCCTCTTGGGTTTTCACCGCGTCCAAGACGGCCCAAGAGGCGCCCAAGACGGTCTACGAGGCCTCCGGGAGCGCTCCAAGGCTGCGCACGAGTGGCCCAGGACGGCCCCAAGACGGCCGAAGAGAGCCCCAAGACGAGTTCGAGAGGGGTCCCAGACGGAGAAAGCCAACCTCGAATTCCGAGCTTCCGGCCCAAGAGGCTCCAGGAGGCGCCAAAATGCCGCCAAGAGGCGCCAAAAGGCTCCCAAAAGCACCTCAAGACGTTCCGAGAGGCACCCCAAGAGAGGTCCAAGAAACAAAAATCGTGCCATTCCTAAGGGAAAGCATCTATTTTTCGCATGTTCGCATCTTGGGTTTTCACCGCGTCCAAGACGGCCCAAGAGGCCTCCAAGACGGCCTAGGAGGCCTCCGGGAGCGCTCCAAGGCTGCGCACGAGTGGATCAGGACGGCCCCAAGACGGCCCAAGAGAACCCCAAGACGACTTCGAGAGGGGTCCCAGAAGGAGAAAGCCACTCTCGAATTCCGAGCTTCCGGCCCAACATATCCCAGGAGGCGCCAAAACGCCGCCCAGAGGCGCCAAAAGGCTTCCAAAATCAGCCCAAGACGTTCCGAGAGGCACCCCAAGAGAGGTCCAAGAAACAAAAATCGTGCCATTCCTATGGGAAAACGTATATTTTTCGCATGTTCGCATCTTGGGCTTTCACCGCGTCCAAGACGGCCCAAGAGGCCTCCAAGACCGCCCCAAGACGGCCCAAGAAGCTTCCAAGAGGGCCCCAGGACAGCCCAAGAGGGCCCCAAGACGGCCCAAGAGGCGCCTAAGATGGCCCAAGAGGGCCCCAAGACGGGCCCAAGAGGGGGCCCAGAGGGGGACCACGAACCGCAAGCTCGAGCCTTCCGCCCCAAGAGGCCGCCAGGAGGCCCCAAGGAGGCCCCTCAAGAGGCCCCAGGAGACCCCCAAGGGGCCCAAAGGAGGCCCCGAGAAGCCCCAAATCGGCCCCCAAAATGCTTCGAACCTGCTTCCAGGAGGCCCCCGACAGGTTCAGAGGCTCCCGAAAAGCCACGTCAAACTCCCAGCGAGCGGCCGGACGAGGCCCCCCACAAAATCACAAGAAGGTTCCAGTATTTGTATCCTTCAGCGCTCTCTGGCCTTCTTCCCCCTGCCCCCTTCCCTGCGACTTTCGTTGACTCAAGCTCGCCTCCTAGCTAGAACCTAAGCGCGCGCAAAGCGCGCGCGTGGTTCTATATATATATATATATATATATATAAATATAGCAATGCACTCCGCTCTTTTTCATCCAGGCCAGCAGCGATATGTCGTGGCGACAGACCTTCGCCCTGAGAAGGCTGGAGCAAGCGACTCATAAAACACAACCCTCTGGACCGGTCTCAGAGATACTAAACTCCCGATTTGCCGTAGTTACAACTGGAGGCATCGGATTAAAGGTCACAGTAGCCATATATCTCAATTGCAGCCAGGGCGTCTTTAAAGCTATGTGCTAGAGCGTTACACAAGGCACGGGGGTAAGGCTCGGAAATTAAAGTTCGGAAAATACCATTAGACTTTCCGGACAGCTCAACGTGGGGCTTCTTACTGTAGCTACAATTGCCGCGGCCAGTGCAGAGACGAGAGCATCTGGACAAATCAACATGCACACTCACGATTCTGGTTCGTTTGCGCCACGGCATACTGAAACCACAAAAATCAGTTCAGATGCTACGCACGGGGCTGAGGCGGCAGGCGGAAGCCATCGGAGGGCACAACCATATCCTGCTGGTTGAGGG